TCACAGAATGAGCCTGAGCAGGTCAATAATGAATTAATGAGTCAACACGAGTTGCATCAATCAGCATTGTTTAAAGGCAATAGATCTCATTTAAAGAAACTGGTCAGTTGTATATGATGTTGTTTCAATTAATTCACATTAATTATTGCATCATTCAGGTAATGAAGTACGGTATTGACTACAAAGATGAAGGTGGGCATACTGCTCTCATGTATTCTGTCTTGGGCAATCAAACAAAAATTTGTGAGGTATATATAATAGATAGTACATTGAATTGAGGCAGTTTATTAATTTTATTTTAAAAGTCACTGATCAATATGGGTGCTGATGTTAATGCTACTGACAATGCTAATCTTACAGCATTGTTTTGGGCTGTCTATCATGCTAGGCCTGAAATCATTAAGATTCTACTACGGTATAATTACAGTGAATTAATAATAAGTAATAATAACACATTTATATTCTAGGAATGGAGCTGATGTTCACATAACTGACCCTCATGGAAGGTCAGTTTCTCACTGGGTAATGAAAACACCGAACGCCTTATGTTTAAAGGTCCTTTGTAAACATGTAATTGGAAATATTGAAAACAAACTGTGAGTTTTAATATTTATTAATTTACTATAATAATTTTCTTATGTGTTAGGACATGGAAGGTTTAACTCCTTTGCATTGGGCTGTAATGTGTGAACAGCATCAACACATCAGCACACTCCTCTCATGTGTTCCAACTACTAATGTTTGTGCACAAGATCGTAAAGGTCGAACACCACTAAACTATGCTGTACTTCTCTTTTCTCCAATTTGTATCAAAGTAAATAGAAATAAATGATATTTAATGATTTTACTTGTAACAGGCCATCCTTGAGTCCAGACCAATAGCTGCTACTTTTGCAGATTTCAAGGGAAGAACAACTTTACACTATGCATGTGCTGAAGGCTCTGTTGACTGTGTAAGAGCATTACTTGCTTGCAAAAGGTATGTTGATAAAATTTATTGATAAAGCAAATAACAAGAATTATAAACTATCCGGCAGCTGTGATCTTCATTGTCAAGATAATTCAGGGACTACTCCTCTCCATTGGGCAGCTGCAGCAAACCAGCCTGGTATTATCCAGTTACTACTGAGGTACATTTTACTATTAATATGAACCTTGCACTTTCACTGATAAAAATTTTGTAAATTTGTATACCATTTAATCAACAAACCACACATCACATTTGATGTATTTCTCACTTGTTGTTTCTTTTTATTTCTCTCTTTCTTCATATTTTAATATTACCTGACAGACAAGGAGCTGATCGTGGACAAAGGGATGCTAGTGATATGACTCCTCTTGATCATGCTAATCAAAGGAATCACACTGAATGTATTAAACTCTTAGAAAGTTACGGCTGGCTGAGACAGTCATCATCATGGTCCATTGCATCACAAGTAATATATATTCACAATGACTAATTGTATATTAGTATGAGTCACTTTAGTTTTCTATTCATCCTCCAACTCCTCCTGAGCTGGATGAACATGGACATGTTCCAATGAAGCGGCCATCATCATCTACTGACCAGCAGTTACCACAAGATATTGGTCAAATGAATCCTGCTGATCACTGCAGGTATCCTGCTGATGGTCATTCTAATAGCACACAAGAGGAACATCACTACTAGATTCTACCTACTGAAGACACACAGTGGCAATCAGCAAGTGAGGAATATAGAGCTGATTCAAAAATTTAAAAGTTAATTGTATTACAGGTGGGGAGGAAACTGCATTGACTGCTGTCAGTGGGCCTAATTTTACTGCAGTAAGTCATGTCTAAATGCTGTAAATAGATAAACTTACTGATGTTTATTAGTCTTGTTTTAACTGGAAGCAAAAGCTGAAGAAGATGTTTTCTATTTTTTCAAGGCACAATGTCCGTGTGGCCCCTGCATGAGGATGAAGTATAATAAATGACATATAAGAAAAATTTTTTTACTATTATTTTTGCACACAGGTGCCCTACAGTATTTGCACTTTACAAATGATCAAATTATAGCTACTTTGTACCATTATAATTTTTTTCAACATGATTATACTATCTACCATATACAATGAAATTTCTATTTCACTTGGCATGCCCCACATGTATGCACGTGTTCTATATAAGATCACACCCACAGGAGTGGTTTTGGGTTGTAGTACCTAAGAACTAGGATCTTAGATATATTAAGACCTTTGTCCTAACTCCAAGTGACTGGAACTTGAACATGTTATCAATCAGACTGCTCCTAGTGCTGTCTGCTTGATACTGTATGGATCTATGTGTGACCACCAACATTAGTTTTGTTTGTTCCATCGTCATCAGGTAAAATGTAGAGGGTGTTAAGGTTGATTTACAATACACACTAGTCCCTAGTCCCGATGTTACATGTACATTGATGCTGGAGTTGAATTTAGTTTAGCGTATACATCTGAGGTCAAATTATAATTGCCCATGCTTTTGATTTTAAAATAACTCTCAGTCAAAAATTAAAAAATTTAAATTTCTGTCATTTCTGTTAAATTTCTACATAGTGCTTACTGCAAAAATTTTTTCAACAAAATGCTTTGTGAGAAAATTTTTGACCAATGAAAATTCAGAGCTATGTGTATAGTAATACTGATAAATAATGATACTATTTTTACAATTACAGTTTTGTGGCAATCTAGTAGATTTTTTATTGAGGTCAATGTTCCTTTAATTTATTGCTGCAGCTGCAATGCTATGTATCATGTATGTGCATCGTAGTAAATAGGTTGTGTTTACTGTATATCTAATTAGGTTGGTGTGTAAATTGTCTGGCTCATTCATGGCCCATGGTCTTAGTGATGATACCTTGGAGAAAGAGAACATTAACCGAGATTGCTTGGTGAGGGTGCAAGGTTTGGTGTATAGCAGGTCTATATGCTGTGCATGTTATGTATACTTACATGTCTAAAGAATAAATGGGTCCACTAACCCTTTTTCAAGACTGAATTAAGTTTTTTGGCTCCCTAGCTGCATTTGCATATTAAGTAATATTGGAAACTGCTAGAGGTAATAGTCTAGTAGATCTAGTCTACAACTGAATGGAGACAAGACAATTGATAGCTCGGATATTTCTGTTTGAAAAATTGAGAATCACAGCAACACTTTGTTTATTTACAGAGAATGAGAAAGATAGGAATACAGAAGGAAAGATGGATGAACCAAAAGTCAGTCTATTAATAGTAACAATAATAACAGCAAGATTATTATGTACTCTTGATAACAGTAAATTGTAATTGTGTGTACATGTACATGTATGCATGAAGGTTACTGTGCCATTAATTATCACACATGTGATTGAAGAAGTTTCATATGGAAAATCCACAATGATAATAAAAGTTCTATTCTGGAAATTAAGTGGCAATTTATTAAGTGCATTGTAACAGTTTTGATTGTTTGCTTATTTGAATTCTGCAGTACATAATATACCCTCAAATTATATTTTAATGGCATAAACTAAAGAAAGAAAACTAATAATGTAATACAATGAAATAAATATTTCTGTTCCTATAAAGCATATTAGCAAATTACATATTTAGAATGCAGCATTAAATTACATGAATAATGTAGCAGCAAATATTACAGTCGAACTAACTAACTAACTAACTAACTAACTAACTAGCTAACTAACTAACTAGCTAACTAACTAACTAACTAACTAATGTCTAATGTTCTTCATTTTCACTTTCATCACTTTCATCACTTTCATCACCTTCGTCATTTTCATCATTTTCAACTGGCATGTCTTGATTCAGTCGAGCAATATAGTGGGAGAGTGTGACTACCCGATGGAATACCATTGCAAAAAATTGGATAATTATTAAGATTCCGTATGAAACCAGAAAAAGTAGACTAAGAATACTGGCTGTTAGTCCAACTTCTTTTAACTCATTAAATGTGAAAATAGAGAGAAGAATGAGCCACATGAGGTTGACTATTAGTACAGCAATCAGAGTGTAGTTACGTAACTGCTTTAGACTATTACGAAGCTGTATAACTTTATTCAAGTGCTCTGGTATTGGTTGTAGAGTTGTTGCTGCTAATTTCCTCCAGAATTCTTCTTCTTCACCTAAACTTGTGTTTTGTGTATTTTTACTTTCCTCAAGTTCCTTCAGAGTTTCATCAAGCTTCTTTTCCTCTATATAAAAATTATGTTGTATGTTCCTAAATGTAGAAACGGAATGGTACATACTTTTATTTATAACTTTTAAAAGTTTAATCCCTTCCATGAACCTCTTCACATGAGCTATGTAGGATTTTAAATCAAATTAAATCAGATATTTTATCTACCTCTCTTTCTAACTCCTATAGTATTCATTAATTCATCTTCAGTTATATAAGCAAGGTTTTCAATATCTTCTTTTGAAGAGTAACCTGCTTTTTCAAATTGGCACACATAGCAAACTTCCAAGTCTATTATTTTTATGTATTCAAGTATCCATTCCTTAACATCTTTCTATGGAAAAAGGTATTAGGTGGTTGTTGGTTTAATGATTATATTTACTGGCAATCCAGAACGAATAGGTTTACAACGAAGCTTTCGAGCAGCTTTGCATAAACGATGAACATATCCAATGGGTTTAACCCCGATGTCTTCAAAATCCTATTATACAAGTAATGTGTACTGCTGATTACTGTAAATGAGCATTAATATAACCTTTTTTGTCATCCTCACAACAAGTTTTTCATAGGTGTAACCTTCCTCTATAAATTCTTTTAAAAAATCCTAAAATGTATACAATACAGAAGAATAATGATGTTATTATCTGGAAAATGGCATCTAAGGTTAACTGTTGCCTGCACTATTTGATTTTTACAACCTGGGGGCACTGAAAGCCCCCAGGTTGTTCCTATAATCATAGTTTGTATATAATCAGTTTGTATATTGTGTTTGTACTGTTATGCTTGTTTATTATTGTAAAAGGGAAAGTAAAGTAAAATCAACATCAATATATATTTTTCAATTATTCAAAAGTAAGAACTCCAGCTATAGATAAACATGCTTTTATTATCTGTTAGTTGTATTAATTTTATCTTTATAATAAATTTTTATTAATATGTGCATACATGTAGCTCTTACCATACTGTTAGTTTCTTTAAGCCAGTTCTCCAGCCATTCATATTCTGTACATATGAGTGTAATAGATGTAGTTTTCATAAATCTTACCATGATATTTTTCACTTTCACTGCACTCGCGGTGTTTTGGATCTGTACAGTTTTCGGTTATTTGTTCCTCAAGTCCTCTTTGTTCCTCAAGCCCTCTTTGTTCCTCACTTTTTTTTTCTTTTTGTTCTTCAAGTTCTCTTAGATCCTGAGGTTCTAAATTGGTGTTTTCTTCTGAATAATGATGATCTTTACTTTTGAACATTCTTTTAAACTTAGAAGGAAGGTTTTTTACCCAATCTTTTATATTTTTTAATTTAAAAGATTTCTCAAGACTAATCTGAGTTTCTCTTGTTCCCCATGATCTGTCATTGAGGTTAGCTATAGAAAAAATGAACAAGAACAGGTAGCCAGCTGGTAAGCCAAGAAGATACCACAAAGACTGTATTAATGCAAAACCTTCAAAGAAGTGAAAAATTGCTGTCGTTATAAAGATGATACCAAACAAGGCTAAATATATAGTGCTTTCAGCAATCAGTAATTTTCCACTGTCACTATAAAAATTATATTCCACACTTGAATCGCTTTCATTTATCTGAAAGGCAGACAATAGTTCATTCGTTTTCTCTTTTATGATTCCAACTATGACAAGAGCCATTACCATAGCAAAGATTACTGTTAGACCTTTAGCAATATTGATTTGAGTCTTTACACTTGTGATAATGCACACAATACCATAACACACTGCAACTAGCCCTGTTACAACAATCACAGCAGTACTATTAATCCCAAATGATGCTGTTAAACCAGAAGCTATAACCAGAATAACTGTAGCAGGAGAAATAATCGTTGAAAAAAAAGCTATTAACTGATATATGATGAATGTCCAATTAATGGATTCATTATTTTTAGTGATCTTTTTAGCTTTATTAATCAATAGCCCAATATTAGCAATGGTTGACCCAATCCATCTACGGCGCTGCTTATAGAACTCATCAAAGGTCATAGGACAGTATGTCTTATTATTAGATATAGCACAATATTCTAATCTCCATCCCTTTTCGATTAAAAGTGTGCATAGCCACCTATCCTCACCCATATCCTTTGTGAGAAACTCCATGGCATCCTCAACCTCACTAGAAAATGTCTTAAGACATTGCTGAAGAGCAGAGCAACGAAATACACTGAAACAACCAGGACAACATAGCACTGATTCAAGGATATGCTCTGTGCTTTTTTGAAGCCAGTGACCAATTGCATAATCAAATACTTGATACCAGTAGATAGCACCATTGCCAAGAGGATGAGTTCATGAACAAACAGCACCAACTTGAGGATCGCGAGCTAACATATCTAAAAGAACAACAGCAGACTCTGCTTTGAAGTCAACATCGCCATCTGTAGTAAGAATGAAGACATTGTCAAGCTCTTTTTTCTTTTCTCTATGCTCAAGAATATACTTCATGTACATGACTTGACTCCACCTTTTCTTATTTCGAACCATCTCATTATCTTTGAAATGAACAACAAATGGCACTTCACTTGTGCCTATTTTCCATTGAAAGCGATATCCATATGGAGTTTTCCATATTTCTGCTTCATTAAGGTCAACTTTGAAAGTTTTTGGAATGAGACTCAAAAGCTGAATAGCAAATGGATACAATTCATTGTCTCGACAACCTCCATCAAAAAAAATGTGAGATTCATACCTAGCTGCTCCTTCTGCAATAGGGGAACTGGTTTCATCATTTTCTTTTTGAACAGGTTTTTCTTCTTTCTTATACAAGTCTGATAATCGTTTAATAGATATTAACATTTGCTTCATTTCTATTTCATTCTCTTTGTACATTGTGGAACAGACATACACCTTACACATTTGTTGCTTTCTAGCTCCTGGCTGTGAGTCAGGTTCACACGCAACTTCTGGCTTTTGATTTATTTGCAACTGTGAACCAGCTTTTTTAATAGCTCCTGACTGGGAGTCAGCCCGATTCATAGCTAGTGACTGCTCAAGCAAGATACTGTTGTAATATGGGCGGACAAAAACATCTTTTTCTGGTGCAAGAATGGCATTTTTATGTACGAAAAGTTGAATATTAGATATCAGCTGACAGAACCACAGCAGTAAGCCACTTGATAGAATTGTGTACCAAAATTTTGGTGCGTCCTTTAACTCTGAAATAACTAAATTTTGATAGTAAAAGGGGAATGCATCGTAATACATCAAAGCTATATAAACTCCAAGGGATAGTGGAGTAGCAAATAGAACTGGCAGGGCTAGCCCAGATACGTGCAGTGTCATGTAACAGGATAAATATGACAGGATGTAAGCCAGAAAACTTGTAATGGCATGTGTGGAAAATATAGCAACGTAAGTTCTATTCCAATAGAGTTTATGGCTAAATTGATCAACCGTTTCTCCATCTTTTGAAGTGTAAGTGTACCTAAAAATGATGCTGCTTACTACGAAACAAGTTACCAAACGAATGAATGCTGCCAGAAAACCTAAAAACAAAATACATTTTTATTTTTGCAAAGTTTATGTAATAATTTACTTGCTTTCCACCTTCCTTTAGCTTTGCTAGTTTTTCCTATTGCCCTATTTTTTGAGGATTCACTTACTGAAAATGTCTTCTTTTGTAATTTTCTTGACCAAATCCATGATATGGCAATTAAAAGTATTGTAATGATCATAATGTTTGTCTGCACATTATTTTGTGTATAGGATATTGGTACAAGTATGATGAAAAGTTTAGATAAGCTTACAATCAATTGAGAAGTTACCCAAATTATCTATTTTGTTTGACTTTTCCTCCTATCCTTGGCATCTTTTTTGGTGTCATCTTTGTTATCCTTAGTGTCTGTCTTATACTTAGCGTCCCTTTTATCATTTTTTGTAAAGCTGCTCCATAATTTATCCCAAGAAAATCCATAGATTCCACACATTAAGACTACCAACAGGATAGGGTTGAGTGAGACAAATGCATAAAAAATTAGACCTGACTCTATAGTTCCTTCAATAATTGCCAACACTATGCACTGTAATAATAAAAATAAAAGGGATTGTATTTAATGCATTAATAATACTTACTCTCCAGCTGTACTGCTTTGGCCATGGCCTCAGAACAGATCTGCTGAGCAAGCCATTGAATAGTCCTATAACCCATGTTATTGTGTTAGGCACCATGATCATAAAGAAAAGCATCCAGTATAGGCTAGCTGCATGCTGTTGTGCTGGTATGTCTAAGTCTAATTCATAGTCACTACTATTTTTGTGGTTGCTCAAGATGTATAAATCAGTTGCTATCTTCATAAATGTGATCTTGCTTAGCACAAGACACAAAAGAACAGATACAAACAGTACAATTTGAACTAACCATACAAGGCATTTAATCTTAGATTTAGCTGCTTGAAATATTTTTTTGGTTTCTTTTTTATAGGTTGGAGTTTGCTCACTAGCTGTGTTATTGTCAGTTTCCTCAAGTGGTTCCTCTGGTTCCTCCAGTGGAGCCTGGTATTGTATTATGCCATCGACATCAGTGTCGTCAAATCTAGTATCATGCCCTGCTGAAGGTGAAGGTGCATCGATTGACATATCAATACTAATAGCTGCCATTTTTTGTTCAAAACTATATGCTATGAAGTTTCCTTGTGTTTACCAAAATTAATCATTATATAGGCTACTGTATTGAAGTATTCATGAGCTATAAATGTCACCATAAAAATTTAGATTTGAGATCAAAGGATAAGGGTGTGTTTAGTGAAATCAGTGTTACTTTTACACATTAAAGAAACATCTCTACCTGACAATATCTTGACATGCGTTAATTGATACACTGTATAAAGTATATGTGTGACCCTTTGGTTGCTTCAAGTACTCCGATTAATAAACAAGAGTCAATTCAATCAAAACATTTATTTCTGCAAGGCATCTAGTCTTGTAGTAGCTACTTTGATATTATTGATACTATAACAAATAGGAATGTAGAGTTAATATAATGAGTTAAACTGAAAGTCTAGCACACATCATTTCAACCATAGATAATAAACAATGTCTAAATATAATTCAGTATTTGTTTGTGTGTGTGTGATCTTTGATATCTTTTGTTTGCTATAAATACTGTTAATGTGTATGTGAGAAGATAGTCTCAATACCTTTATGTATAAACCCTGTATTACATACTGTACATAGCTCATTATTCATTACATTGTTGTTTGGCTACGATCATATTGATAGCAATTGTTTTATTTTGGTCCATATTTGGTCATTTAAATAGCAAATAATTATTTTTTCTCAGTGATGTGACAGTTAATTTATACTCAGTTAGTATCTTTAAAACTCTTACAGTGCAATGCACATTGGTTATGCATAGCAATGTATGATGAAGGAATTAATGTCTTTGATATTGATTGTCAGAACTTAAATATTATTTCTAGCCATCATTTGAATGAAGTTAAATTCTGTATCTAAAAATCCACTCAAGTAGTAAATGTGCCAGCATGACAAAGAGGGGAGGGAGCACTAGGTAAATTAATGATACCACACTATTACTTGTGCCTAACTATTAAGTATCTAAAGGCGTAATTTATTTTTTGAATACACCGTAACCATAAATTATGTGCTACTGTTATTTTTGTGGCCCAAAATTTTTTGTAAATCCTCCTTGGCCATGTTGTACTGTATTTTGTAGATTTTTTGAAATTTAAAAAGCTGCCAAAATTTTGAACCACAAAATTTTTTATTAGATTTTCTGCCAAATGATTACAGCATGTATTATAGTATTTATGTTTAGTATTATTGCAACTATAGCCATATGTAGTTCAAGGAGTCAAATAAATGTTTCATTAGTTAAGGCATAATACTTATGAGTGTATCTAAAAGTATGAATTGTATACATATAAACAGGCCTATAAAAGTGGGTTATTAATGGCCTTTATACGAGGTGCAAATTTAACAGCATAATTACTTTTTGTGAAAGAGAGGTCAATCAATTAATATAAACACACTTATTAATAAAATGAGTCAAGGTTAACGGGTGTGGTATGTCATGAATGCACACACCGAAGTGTTTGTGTATGTGTACTCATTCTACATCAAAGGTATGTGTACTCTTGGAAATAATATTCAAAATTAATAAATACTGTTAGAGTATGTGTGTATGTCAGAAGATAGTCTCATAATACCTTATGTATAAACCCTGTATTACATACTGTACATAGCTCATATTATTCATTAGATTGTTGTTCGGCTATGATCATATTGCTAAAAATTGTTTCATATTTTGTCCATATTTGGTCATTTGAATATTAATGATAGGAAATATGTTTTTTAGTAATTTTGTACATGGTTCATACTATTTTTTTATTTAGGCAGTATTGGTACCTGTGCACACAATAATCACATAACAAGATTGTATGATAATAATCTGGTAAGTTAAAGACAATGTCAATAATTGTAAGCAACCTCCTTCTTTCCTTTATTAATTTTATGTCTAAAACTTTAGTCATAGACTTATAGTGTCAGACTTTGTAGTACCAATAGGTAAAAGTGGGCTATTAATGAAAAAGAGGTCAATTAATTTATAAACATACTCATAAATAAGAGTCGAAGCTAAAGGGTGTGACATGTCATGAATCTACACACAAAAGTGTTTGTGTGTACTCCTTTTTTACATCAAAGGTATACATGTATTCTTTGAAATAATATTCAAAATTAATAAATACTGTTAGAGTATGTGTGTATGTGAAGATAGTCTCATAATACCTTATGTATAAACTCTATATTACATACTGTTCATAGCTCGTTATTCATTACATTGTTGTTCGGCTATGATCATATTGCTAACAATTGTTTTATTTTTGTCCATATTTGGTCATTTGAATACTAATGAATAGCAAGTATTTACTTAGTAATTTTGTACATAGTTCATATTATTTTTTTAGTTTGGCAGAGTATCGGTACCTGTGCGCACAATAATCACATGACAAGACTGTATAATATAATCTGGTAAGTTAACGATAATGTCAATAATTGTAAGCAACCTCCTTATTAATTTTATGTCTAAATTAAACTTTAGTCATAGACTTATAGTGTCAGACTTTGTAGTACCAATAAGAGATGAGCCTAAAGCTAGGTTTACATTTAATGAAACAGTCAAAAAAGTGCATGGGCAATTTGACCTTTTGATGCAAAACATTTTAAAGTTAATGAGAAATTGGCCAAAGTTTAGTTTTGGCCAATAAAAGCCAATTAATTTGGCAAATGAATGCCAGATAATTTGGCCAATGGCCAATGAAACGCAACGTTTACCTTGTGTTTTGCGGTAAGTGTAAACCAAGCTTAAGCAAGCAAGCCATGTACAAAGTCTATTTATGTACAACAATAGTTGTGATCTTGATGAAAATACTTTTGCATTCTTACTCAATTATACATATATGTCAATAATAGAAAAAGGAAGGGTAAGAATGAATATAAGTTGTTAGTATCAGTTAGCCTCACAGTTGGCAAATGTTTTAATTTTGTGATGATTAAAAGTTAACCACCTCAAGAACTGCATGTGTGGGATTTTAGATTGTTTTGTCTTTAGCATAAATACACAGTACATGTACATTAGCACTGTGCAGTCAAAAATGTCTAAGAGAAAATTTTCCATTTCATAATTCTATTCTGATACATTATACATATTCTTATTTTATATAGCAAATGAGCTGATTTCAACCAAAATTGAGTTTTACATGAATTTTAAAAGTTACTCAAAACATAAATAACTACCCGTAAATGGGATTGGAAACTTCTGTTACTACCCATGGGTACCAGGCTGGTTGGGATAGCGTTGTTCAATTCTTAGTAGACCAATGGCGAAGGTTTGTGGGACTCTAGCTACTGCATTTTAGAATGAAACAGCCCTGTTTTACTTCTATAGACTCTTCTTAAGAGCCTTCAGTGCAATGATCATATTGCTATGATATCAATATATGGCTATGATATCAATATATGGCTATGATCATATTGCTAATAATTGTTTCATATTTTGTCCATATTTGGTCATTTGAATATTGATGAATAGCAAGTATTAACTTAGTAATTTTGTACACAGTTTATGTATTTTTTTAAATTAGACAATTACACTTGATGATTGCGTGTACAATAATCACATCAAAAATTTATGCAAGACTGTTATCATATTAACTGGTAAGATACACTGTGATGTCAATCAATCTCTTTTTGCCCTTCCAATAAATATCTGTCTAACGTTTTATAGTGCCAGGCCTTTGTAATACCAGAACATTTAAGTAATGAATTAGTATTAGTAGTATTATGGTTATAATAATTATGCTAAAAGATCATCACTCTAATTATGGTTTTGTACATTAACCTGGTTGCAAAAGTCACAAAAGTTATTACTGTCCATCTGGAAATTTTTACTGTTTTTTTTAATTTTACTAAATCAAATTTTTTCAAAAAAATTAGATCACACGTATAATTACATGCTATGTACATTCAATGATACATGACTGTTTCCCTGTTTGTCTCTCTCCCTTTCCATCTCCCTCTCTCCATCTCTCTCTTTCTGTCTTCCACTCCTGCTCCCTCTTTCTTTGTCTTTGACTCCGTTTTTATAATAGCAGTTCTTTTGTATAGCTTTTGTTATAATTTTTATAATTTTGCATAAAAATTAAATCACTTAAAACACAAAATTTTCTACCGCATAAATTTTCTGATTTATGGTATATTGGATGTGTGACAATTTATATTTGTTTTATATTTTGGTTTAAGTACATGTGTACACATACATAAACATTGGCAGAGCCTGAAAAGTAACAGTTGAACATCAGACATTTTCCAACCATTTTTGTTCAATTGTTCGACCAAATTCTGTGTTGTTCTACCATTTTGTCTGAACAACATAATTTAATATAAATTTTACTTTTTAACATAATAACCATAATTATGTCTAACTGCAGGGTTTCCTACAAAGCTTGAGCTAAACAGCATGCTGACAAGCACTACAATACAATACATGGCATTTAAAGCAAATTTTAAAATTCATTAAAATCCAGTTTTAATTGGAATTTTCTACACTACAAAAGAACATGTATGTGTATCAGAAAAAATATAAAGAAATTAAGAATTTTTTATAGCCATTTGTAAAAAAAATTTCCAAAGACCAAAGGCTATAGCCTTTGGTCTTTGGCAAAATTTTGTTAATGGTACAATTTTTGAGCAACTTCATAAATTCATAAAGATCAAACTTGATCCAAATCAGCTCAAAGTTGATACTCAACACACATAAAAACATGTATCAGAAAAAAACATTAAAATGTAAAATTCTCTCCTTGTGATTTTTGTCAAAAAATACTGTGTACCATAGTACGGTGTCATTTTGGAACAACCCACTGATGAGTACTAGGCTGATTCCATCAAAACAGGATTTTAAAAACATTTTAAAAGTTGCTTCAAATTTGATCAAAGACATTAGGCTATAACAGTACATGATATTTTGTAAAAATCATTAATGAATTAAAGCGGAGCCTTGTTATTAATGATAAGGCTCCGCTTTAATATAACGGCGATATTATTATTGTAAGTATCCAGATTCTAAGATATACACTGAAATAAAAATATAAAAAAGCTACTATCATAATAAAAATGTATTTTATTTATATAAAAATGTATTTTATCATTTTTTACTTATTTCATTTTCTCATAGTTACTATTAGTAAATTCATAATTTTTATCAGCAATGGCTCTGCCAGCTAGTAACTTTTTGTAAAATTAGTAAAATAAAATTTTTAATTTATACTTAGTCTATATAGCCTGATTTGGTGTTAAATATTCTTCAGTTCTAGTTAGTTACACATTTAACCATAATTATACTTGTAAAATAATATTGTTTATAATAGTACAGTCTGTTAATTTTGTTTGTTTTAAAGTGCTTTGCTAATTACTTCATTTCTCTTACATTATTTACTTTATTTATCTAGAAGTAACAGATGATTTAGATTGCCTAAAAAGAAGCTGCACAAACAGTGCAAAAATGGATGTGGATATCATAATTGAGAACAAGAAGTAGTCTTTGCCGGAGAAGCTAGATCTAGCTCCTTCAATCAAGGCATGATATAAGCACACAGCCAAGGATAAATTTAATCTGTACTTTTGAGTTAATACAATTATATTTTACTGATAATAGTAAAAAAAATCAGCAATAGCAAGGTCACATTAAAAATAATTGGAGCTACTGTATGAATTTATGCAACGTTTTCACTAATGCCTTGATCTCATCAGGTTTTGAGTTGCTCCATTTATCCAGCTTTGCTGCAAGCTCAGCCTTTGTTGCTGAACTGTTTGGCACATTTGATAAATCTTGTGTTATCCACTTAGTTAGTTGATTGAGGACATTCAACCAAGGTGGTAGTGACTCCTTGTAATCAGCATCAAAGCATGTCTTGAATAAATCAGTCAGCATTTCTTGGTCACAACATGCTACTAATTCTTTTGTAACAAAAATGACATCATCAAATTCAATATCTACAATGAGAGTAACAGTTATTAAATAATATTATATAAATTTTAATAAACTAACCAGTCACAAACTTAAACTTTTCAGGTATTGGTTCCTATATGGGATACTTGATTAATATTTATATAATGCTAAATATTTTAATACCTCAGTCAACGCTTCTATCCAGTCACTATACTCTGCTTTTGACTTACATTCATCACACAACTTGACGTCATGTGGAAGTCGGTGATACTCTTTTTCATTTTTTGAGCACATAATAGCAAAAGCATAACTGAAACGTCCACGGCCCTTCTTTTTGTCGATAATTTCTGCTATTTCTTTGAATGCCTGAACAACACACAAGGTGTGCTTTTTTGAAGGAGGCATAACTTTAACTTCAATCTCATCACCTCTATAGGTCATTGTTATTATGCTGCTGTTATCTGTGCACTTTATAATGGTACGATTTTCAGCAGTTGACAACTGAAGTTGTGCAAAACTGTGTTTCAACATACAATTAGTAAAAGCAACTTCAAAATTGACAAAGTTTATAGGACTTCTATTATTCAATAGTAGTCTGACTGCCTCCTTGTCCATGAAGCGCTCTTGCTTACGTTTTCGAGCACAAGGCATATAGTAACAAACTTCATGAGTTTCATCTTCAGCATATTTTCCACCTGGCACCACTGCTACCATGCCAACTAATGCTAGAACTGACATGAATGTCTCTCCCTGACTGGCCCCAAACATTTCTCTAGCTGCTGTTTTGGTGATGATGCCACTTTCGTTGTACATCTTAGAATCTGGAGGGTTGTCAAATGCTTTATTGAGATTAGATAAAAATTCATTAGGTTTGACAATAATAATATCACTGGTATCATTAACAAGACTAAGGTCAAAGATGCTGCCAAATGATGTAAATAGTTCACAAAACTCTTTGAAATCCTCATCATTCATATCGCATTCCTCAGCAAGCTGACGTAACCCTGCCTTCCTCATAAACATGCTCTCCTTATGTTCTAGAGCACCACGTAAAAATAACCCTGAAATCGGAATACGTGTTTTTCCATAAACACTACCCACTAAATTCTTTAGAAACAGAAGAAAATAATTACCTTGAGTTTTTTTGTTGAAAGGTAAGGTTTGATCTACGAATTCTGTGACATTTAACTGTCTGGCCACTCGTTGCAATTCTTCTTCGAAAGTCTTCATTTTGGTTTCGATTTCTTTATCACTATCCTCTCCGCTGTGTGAAGCGAATACAGTGCATGGTCGCTTATGAGTAGTAACTCCTTTACAAAGTCGCATGCAGCGAAGGAGATAATCCAACGGTTTCTGCCATATCTGAAGCTTTCCTTCTTCTTCATTTACTTCTTCTATGGTCAAATCTGCAAAAAGCCACATACGACTATTAGTCAGGTGGCCACTAAATGCTCTCAAAAAGTAAAATACATTAGTGTTGAGTGTTATGTTCCAAATATTTATTAGAGCTGCACCTCTTGTTACAGTAAAAACAAATTCTAACTCTTGTTTGTCACAAAATTGGATGCAATATTTGTGCAAGTGAGCTAATAGTTCTTTCATGTGCTTGTTAAGTAATGTGTCTTTGTAAATCGAAGGCTGGTCAGTAGAAATTTTGTATGAAATTCCTTCGGAACTTCTGATTAATTGGCAAGATTGGACACCAAAGTTGTACAGCATTGAGGTTGAGTACACGCAAGCGATTTCATAGTTAGACCTATTAGTAGCCAAGATATGATGAGATGAGAACCCTGCAGTGATTGGAGTCTTGAATATCTCTTGAAGTGCTTCCTTTTTGGCACTCTCTGGCAAACCAGCAGAGCAGATAAGAAGTGGAATTATTTTAACATTCCTGTTTTTCATTATACGTCTTAAAGTTACAGCATCAATAATACTATCAGCTAAAGTAAACATACAAATATAAATTGAATGCTGCAATAAGCCGTGAATGTACCTTCAAGCTCAGGAAGAACGGAGCTAGTGCTAGTACTTCTACCCTCAGGTAATAAAGAATCGGGACCGGCGACATATTGGTATTGAGCAGGAACAGTTCCAGGGCCATCAGGTCGAGATTCTTCAACTGGTGATTGATATTCCTCCGGATCCTCCTGTTTTGAGAAAATTGCTAAAGATGTTATCACTTTAAAAGCCTCACCATTAAAGAAGTGGTTGACTGGTTGTTGTAGTCTTGTCAGACCAGTGAGACCACGCCTGGGCTGGGCTAGCTTAGTGGGCTACATCATGATCACGTGAGTGAGCTGTGTGTGTTTAACGTTTCTGTTTGTAGGAGATCCTGTATACCATTCAGACCTGCAAAGGATCAATAATTACAAACCTCAATTACAATTACACATTCAATTACACTCCTGTATAAATAGACTCCATTAGAATTAAATCTACAATTAAATCTATAGATCTACCATGTTGAAGTAATTTCAATTGAAAATAGAGCTACTAGCTTTCAGGGGCGGATCCAAGATTTTGCAAATGGAGGGGTTGGGAGAAAAGATGGCGCGCGAAGCACGCCGAAATTTTGGCCACGCCCCTTTTTGGCGCTATTTTGTGGTTAAAATCACGTGAAAATCAACTTTTCTACCATTTTTGGAGCTCATTCTTTGTTAATTATATTCATTAACCACAGTAATGTTGCTATATAAACTAGGTGGTTAGCACTTTCACCACTGTTGCAACAATAAAAACATTAAAAATTTTTGAGTTAGAATGTTTTGGGGGGGTTGCAACCCCACAAACCCCCCCCTAGATCCGCCCCTGGCTTTATTTTGATAGTTTTTTTTGCAAGAAACAGAAACATGGCTTTCTTTTGAAAAAACGGCAGTTCATCTGTCATAAAAAAGTAATAAAATATTGCATCACTTCTCATGTTCATTTGATTCTAATAACTTATGTACTTATCACTATAAATGCTTATGTTGTATATAAATGTTCTAATCTTTCTCTCCCATAGGCGGCTGCAGGGTTTCACTCCAAGTAGGGCAAAGGTGTGGCTGAAAGTGGGAGTGGTCAATAAGTGGGTGTGGCCATGACCACACTCACATGTCTTGCTCTTGAGTTTTAAGACTGTTAAGGCTTCTATGTCAGCATTTTGTGAAGAAATCAAGTTGAAAAAGGCTCTGAAATTCTCAATGAAGAGTTACCCTGCCATTCTTGTGTTCAAGAAGGGAAAATTCAGTACCTAAAAGACCTCTATCAATGATAGAGTATCAGTAGCTAGGTGATTTAGCTGTTGAATGAGTCCTAGCTGATAATAATGAAGCTGCTATATGATGGAGTCAGTTAACTACTCTAGCTGCAGGTTACTGTAGATTATGCCTTCCTGAAGTGGCCATAGATATGGGCCTATGAAGTGGCTGGCTGGCTTCCTGTGAATAAACCATGCAGTTAGCAGCTTATTCTCTACTAATTATCACTTTGTTGAGCAAAATAATGTAGTTTTTGTCATTAAAATAGCTATATTCCATGTAATAACTACTAAATAATTATTAATTAACTGCTAATTATGATGATGTCATCTTCCGGTAAGAAATTATATACTATATCCCAGTTCAGTTTGGGACGGAAGTGGAAGCAGCTGCGTGGATTTTTAAAATGTAGCTACGTCACAAAATGACGTATTTTAATGATATTCATAGAAGCATGGCGGCTGTGTTGTTTCACTCTTAAAACAGTCTTGCTCTTCATGATAAGCAGTACAATAGCTACTGGAGTCAACTAGTCTTCATAAAGGCCATCGTTATCAGAAGATCTTGCTCTGTTAGCTTTTTAAAACAAGAATTATCAGTTTGGGCGCTCGACCACATGTTCTTATGTAAACTATGACGTAGATAAATTGTCATAAAACGTCATTTTGGTATGCCATTGGGTTTATAGGGAGAACCCGGTTCTCAGGGTTCCCAAGAGTTGAGAGACCCAAGATTTCACAGATTTTGATGGACTTTGGCGACTAAAAACCTGTGAAAGTTTCATCCTTATCCCACATTCCTATAAAAAGTTATTCCAGTTTTTCTTGTCCCAAACTCAACTGGGATATAGTATAGTAGGGCAATGGCATTGCCCTCATTGCCTGCCCCTGCAGCCGCCTATGTTCTCTCCCTCCGAGTCTCCCTCCTAACTTTTCTCGTTTAAAAATTATTCTATTGTAAAGCTCTTTGACCCATTCCCTGAGTCCTTCAAGGTTACTTTCCTCTTTCTTTCTCTCTGTCAGTCCGAGGCTGTCCACCAATATTACTCTTTTTATTCCTTGTTAAGTTATTATTATTATTATTGTTGTTGTTGTTAACAGGGTTTCTTAAAAAGCATGCTAAGTGAGCTAAACAGCATGAGCTTCATGAGCTGACAAGCACTGCACTATGATACTCCATACCTTTTTGGAGTAACTTCCAAAAATCCAAATTTGATTGGAATCAGTTCAGTTAAACTATATGTACATCTATATGTATTAGAAAAAATTATTAAATAGATAATTTTTCTTAGTCATTTTTTTGCAAAATTTGGTCGAAGACCGTGTACTACACAACCAAATGTTATCACGCCTGAATCAGCACTTTTGCCCCAAAATAATGGACCAACTCTGATACTCTATACTGGTACAGCCCTGACAGTTTTATTATAGATCATGCCTGATATTCTGGCATGAATCAGTACAAATTTTAGCATGATTGTATCAATGATTGTATCATGGCTGATTTTTGCAGCTATATCATAACTGATTACACAAAAGCCATGATTCAGGACTGATATCAGTATGATTCAGACTGATATCAGTCCTGATTTAAGGCGATAACAATTGTTTGTATATAATATTACATGGTCTTTGGCCTGATTTTAAAGCAACTTTAAAAATTCGTGAAAAATCTAAATTCAATCGGAATCAGCTCAAAGTTGATACACAACATATAAACTTGTACATGTATGAGAAAAAATTATAAAAATGAAAAATCTCTCCTAGCCATTTTTAGGGTTTTCTAAAAAAGCTCTACTGAGTAAGCTAATTGTCATGAGCTGGGCATTATACTGGAAATAACCCTGATTGGCACACTTCCATCTACAAGTGTACAGTGCATATACATATAATCATATGTGAAGTGCCTATTGAGGTAGATTCAGAGCATTTTCTAAGCATCTGTATTGATTCAGTAGTCAGTATATTACACTATGACAACTCAAAATAAATTTTAATTACATTCTGTTCAGGTTTAAGCCTTAATTACAATTACAATTATGCAACTGTAATAGTAATTGAGCCTCTATTAATAACAAATAGATCTACAATTGTAATTCACACCCCAGGTCAAAGTAAATTTACTCATTCTTAATTGGGGCGAGCATGAGCGAGACCCACACTAATCTGTCTAGGTCTATTTGCGTTACGTCTTGTTCGTGAACGGAAAAATACGAAAATTAAATTAGTATACTACTATTGATAAATTTGGACCACGTGGGTAAAATTAATTTAGAGGGTGTGGTCAAAAAATAACAAGATGGCGGAAATTTTAACGTGACAAACTCAGATTGAGTTTCTAACAGCTAGATAAGAGAGAGGGGCTGTCTAAAGCATCTCTAAAGGCTGAAGAACTTAAAAGCAGTTTGATCTAAGACTCCTCTAGATTAGTCCTCTCATTGAAAGAATTAAAATTGTGAGAGAAGCTTGATTAGAAGTTTAGCTTGTCACATTTTCTCAAAGTATTAGGACAGTTCATCCTTGTCACTTTTACTAGGTCATTTTGGTCAGTGGTGTTAAATAGTGGGTTTGCTCTGTTCAGACCATGCTGGACTATGAGTATGGGGTCTGAATATGCATGCACGTTAAGAGCTGGATTGATTTTATTTCAGTAGTTTTATTTCAAAAAGATGTTAATTGATGGAAGCTTGATTAAAAGTTTAGCTTGGAACATTTTTTAAAAGTGACAGGATAGTTCATCCTTGTCTCTTTTACTGGGTTATTTTGGTTGTGTTAACTGGTGTGTTTGCCCTGTTCAGACCCCGGCCATGAGGCTGGGGTCTGAATATGCATGCAGGCTATTTTAATCTTCTTATCAAACAATGTGAATTGATGGCTCGCCCCTTCAATGTTTACATTCACCCTAGTGATATTTTCAATGGGTGTTGTAATAAAATGCATTGTTTTGAGTTTTATAGAATGATTGCCTTCCTTTTTGACATCATTACTAAATACTAATGAGACAATGAAATGCCAATGTTATAGTCTAGTGTATAAAAAATACATGTAGTGCATGTGCATGTTTTTCAAGATCATGCCCACAAGAGTGATATGATTGGAAAGTAGATTATCAGCATCTTTAAACTGATAACCTAATTTAAATCCTATTTGGCTAACCATAAACTTGGGCAGTATTACAATAGATGAGTAGTTGAGATATTTGTACAACAAAAATGAAAAAAAAACATCTTGCAAAACTAGTAGATCTATAAATCTACTACTAAACTAGCAGCACAATTTAAAAATATATATATTTGCACACAAAAATATAATTAGCAATGTTTTATATCAAAAAACTTGTCACAAATTGACCTCCCTTGTATCTTCAGGTGAGATACGCTTCTATAAAAGTTTATAGTAAAATTATTTTACAATCTGTAATATTTTTACCACAGTTGGGCTAGTTACAGTATCATAATCATTACTAGCAGCCCTAGAAATGAACCATGAATGAACTCAGCAATGCATGGGAGTGGTGCGACAACAAATTTAACTTACACAGTCGATGTAGTTAATTTTATATTTGGCTCATCATAAACATGTTGATTATCACTACTAAAGATAAAATTGCAATTATGAATCAAGGCAACTTCAATACCTTGACATGTTTGTCTGCCGAGAGCCAGCTTCATTCTGAGATGCATCTTTTATATTAGCAAATGATCTGATAATTATAATGGTATAGTTCATTAAACAGTAATTTTGACACTTACATTTCTTTTATTTCAGTGTTACCATTTATGTGCATCTTATTACTTTCATAGTGATTTGAGTCACTGTTGAAGCAAAGCAAAATCAAAATTTGATTGACTTACTTTTCTCTCTTTTTCTGCCTCATCCTTGCACACAAGCAGCATATCAATCCAATACTTAAAAACAGACACAAAAGTAAACCAAACAGTCCTGCTAGAACAGACACAGCTATCATTCTACCATCAACTCCAGATACATCTCTAGTTGCACCAACTAGTTCACCAATATTATCATCCAGTACTATTATAGTGGTAGCATTGGGACCATATCCTGCAGTATTCTCAGCCCTCACCTATAATATTAAAGCTCATATTGTATATAGAAAAAATTACAATTACTGAAAAGTGATAAACCAATCCGTTTCTTAGACGAAACAACTGAAGGTGGTTCACGGGCACATTTATTTGTATTGGTCCAATAGCTGGTATCTGCATAAAAAGTTTATTTGTTGGATTCTAAACACTTTTTGCTTACATTAGAAGCTATTGTGTATCCAGAGTATATAACTTGATATTGAGATATGACACCATCAGTGGTTTGAGGCATATCCCAGCTCAATATGACTTGATCACTGCCAATAACAGTTCCACTGAATGATACTGGTACACTTGGAACTACACAGCAAAATAAATGATATAAATTAATATTACACAGATTTAGTAGCAACTAAATACCATTTTCATTTGTATTAAAGGCAAGTACAGAAGAATATGGTCCCAGTCCAACTGATGTTCTAGCAGCTACCTTTATCATGATATGTTCATATGGATAATAACCTATTGTTACAAGTCTTATTATTTATAAAATCACATTTATAGATCTACCTTGTAAAAATATGCGGGTGTCCTGTGTTTCAAATGATCTTGTTTGAAGTAGATTGAATCTAGTCACTTGCACCATGTAACTAATTATTCTTCCATTCCTTTCTATTAAATTTGGTGGCAACCAAGTGGCAGTGAATGATGTTTGTTGAACATTTGAAAGCACTAGGTTAAGTGGACGACCGCTAGGAGCTATATAAGCAATAGTTAACAACTATGCAATAAGTATATGTAATTATCCATACCTGCTTCAGGCATGCTTATGTTAAGTGGAGATGAAGATGGACCCCTCCCAGCAGCATTATCAATAGATATTGTCAAAGAGTATTCAAAATCAGGCTCCAGATTACTAACTATCACTTCTTCTCTTGCAAATGGCTCCATTGCTAAGCTTGGATCAGGATTATTAGCACGAGGGGCTACAGTAATTTCAACATCTTTTGGCCTGAGTGATGTAATGTTAATCTCTGCATTTTCTCCTATTGATTTTATAGGTACCGCTTTAATTATAAAATTTTCAATTATTCCTTTCCACTCATTTTTAGGAGGTAGTTTCCATGATAAAGTAAAAGAATCTGGAGATAATACATTGAATGATATATCTTCAACAGAAGCAGTGGGAACTATCATGTGAAAAGGTATTAATAAATAAACACAGTATATAATTGATTCATTTACTTTCAGGTTGTGTTAAAACAACGGTGTTCACTAGATTGGTATTAGACAATTGGAGTGAAATTACATATCCAACATATGGCTTCAAGTCATGAATACGTCCCTCATTGATAGTACCTTCATTGTTTGTGTAATAGTTGAAACTGGGGAGGATGGAGTAATGAAGCTGATAGTCATCATTTGATAAATTTTCCCATGAACAATTAATGTCTGTAGAGCTGGCAGCGGAACACATAAAATTTAAAAGAGTACCTAAACATAAAAAATTAAACAATTAGATCCATAAAAAATTAAACAATTAGATCCATTAAAAATTATACACATACCATAGGGCACCTTTGTTGAGGGCTATAAATTTAGCGGCTGTATATTTTGCTGTATTAAATTTTGCAATTTTTATCCCAATTCCACACCCATAAACAATTAATTTGATTTAATTTTTTGATTTAATTAATTTTTTGCAAATAGCAACAAAATCGATTAAATCTGCGGAATATATAGCCCTTGAAAAAAGGCACCCTATGGTACAAAATATTCAATTATTTTTGCCCATAGTATTCAACTTATGGCTTAAGGCTATGCATAGGGTATAGTCGATGCAAAAAATGCTTCTTAGTTTTGCTATAGGTTAAAACAATTTGCATATGTGTACCTGATTTCTCCGTTGTTATGGCTATTGGCTCACTCTCTATTCCAGTCCCATTAGAAGTATTAGCATAAACTGTTATGTTGTACGAAGATGCTGATAAAACTAATTCCAATAAATACATTGTATCCGTTATACCAGACACTGTTGCTACAGGACGAGGCACTGCCAGAGACACTGGAGTATCAAGTAACTGATATGTGATAGCATATGATGTTATGATGTTCAATGGATCAGATGGAGCCTCCCAGTCTATCAGTATTGATAGGTCTGTAGTATTGACACTCAATGATTGAGGAGGCCCAACAGGAACTATTATAAACCAATATTTACTATCATAAAATCATCATTTTTACTTACATCCAGAATATGTATTGATGTAGTTAACTGCTGCAGGGCCACAGCCAGCAGACGTCAAAATACACACCATACAAGTGTAATATGTGCCCTTTTCAAGATCAACAGAAACTCTTGTCATTGATACTGTCTTCGATATAAAGTGCCCATTTTCTCCAGTGCAATTGATTCTATACCCACTGATAATTCCGTCAACTGAGCCATCAGGAGGTGGCAGCCAGTGCAAAGTTAAATTGCTACCATTTAACTCATTGCATAAACCAGTAGGAGGATCAGTAGCAACTAAAAGGAATACTATAACAAATAATTTGGGCTACCATTAAATACCTTTTTCTTGGAGTGTAATAACCAGATTAGTTGAGAATGGTCCTATATCAATGGTAACTGCTGCTAAAGATACAGAGTAATTTTGATTAGGCATCAATCCAGTGATAAGCATGTACTCTTCAGTTGAATTATAATCAATCACTAACAGACCATTACTGATTCTAATGATGTACATGTGAATTAATCCATTAGGCACAGCCGGAGGACTCCATGACACATTTATTGAGGTATAATTGACACTTTTCAGCATTATACTGGTTGGAGGGCTGCTTGGCGCTAAAAATTGTAATCAAAAAATTAGTATAAATCATAGATAATAAAGTAAATGAATGATATTAAATATACTAAATAGAGTAAATTATATTAGATATGCTCTAATATCTATGTATAAATACATCATTTCGACTAAATAATTCATAGGTAATTACCACTTTCTTGTGTCATAATAGTCAACATAGCAGCAGGCCCAGCAGCAACTGTAAATGCAGACACATAACATGTGTATTTAGTGAAATACAGCAAATTATTGATAGTAAACTCAAACTCTGTAGTATTGAAATGAAATACAGTGCTGTTGGTCTGATCCAATAATGTTATCTGGTAATATTTGATTATTCCATTAGGAGTGTTAGGAGGGAACCATTTCAAAATGAGGAAATTGGACCCATTGGTGGTGGCATCAAAGTTTTTCGGTGCATCACTTGGGACTGGAAAAAGCAATAATAGTAAGTGTATCATCAATGTAATATTTAACTTACTATCTTCGGCTGTTGTAACATTAATTGGTCTACTATATGGCCCAGTGCCAATAGTAAAAGCAGCTACCCTCACACTGTATGCAGTAAATGGGGTCAGCATGAGTATTGTAAGGTGAGAATTGGCTGTAGTAAGGGTTTGCTCTGATCCAGTTGCAATATTAATAATGGAGACTTTATAATAACGAATGACACCATTAGTTGTATTTATATTTGGAGGTGACCATGAGATAGATATCATTGTTGAATCAATCGCTATAGGCAAGACTGATAATGGTGCAGCTGTGGGAACTGTGTGCATTAAAAATAGAATTATTGTATTCATTTTGCATTTTATCTTACCATCTTCCTCTGTGTTAACAAAAACATATTCAGAGACTTGACCAATATAAGTTGTAGCAGCTGCCACATGACAACGATAAGTATTGTTTGGGCTGAGATCAGTAATAATGACATATGTGATATTACTAGTTTCTTGCATTACAACAGTGCTGGTTGATTCATCAGTTATATTAATATAATATGCTGTAATATCACCATTAGGATTAGAAGGGGACTCCCAAGCTAACAGTATACTTGATGAACCGATGGCAGTAGCTTTCAAATGGCGAGGTTGACTGGGAGCTAATAATTGTAAAATAGATAATAATAAATTTGGTAACAATGTAATTAGTAGTGTTTACCTGATTGACCAGTTTTTGTCAGTAGTGATTGAGTGAAAGGACCAGTTCCATTAGCATTTCTGGCAGCAACACTCAGACTGTACGTTGTATCTGGATTCAAGTCAACAATACTGAAGTCATTATTAGCAGTAGTAAACTGAGTTGTAACTAGCGTGTCTGTATTAGTAACATTAACAATATACTCATTGATATTTCCATTTCTGTCTTCCTCATCTGGAGGATTCCAACTAATGCTAAGACTAGTAGCTCCTGCTGATGCAAGACTTAGTGACTGAGGCCTTCCACTTGGCACTGTAAAAGGGAATGTGATAATTATACAACATAAAATGTCCTACCATCATCAGGCATGGTAATGCTAATAGGTTCACTGAAAGGACCTCTACCATTAGTAAAGGCAGCAACAGAGATATTATAAGTATATGATGGTTGGAGATTTTCAATTGTAATGTTCCTCTCAGATGTCTTATAAATATAAGTTTTTTCCCCGACAATGACTAAAATTTCATAATACATGATAATACCATTACGATTTGACAATGGGATTAAGCCCCACTGTACAAGAAGTGTCCTGGCATTAATAAAGATGAAAATAACATTGACAGGAGCACTTGAAGGTACTAGTTGTTAAAGAATATATAAATATTCAAAAGGTATTGACTAACCATCTTCTAGTGTTTTGATCTCAATGCTTAGTGAATATGGACCCATTCCAGCATTGTTTCTAACTGCTACTCTACACCAGTATGTAGTAAATGGCTGGAGTCCAGCAATGATTGCATAATTAGTATTGCTGGTGTAATTAAAAGAACTGTTTGCTGATGTAACTAGTATAACATATGTGATGTTAGGACCATTCAAGTAATCCAGCATAGGAGGAGTCCAAGATATCATGAAAGAGGTTGGAGATGATGAGTTTATGTTCAAATCAAAAGCTGGGTGAGTTGGTGCTGCATAAAGTATTAAATACTAATAATTATAACAACTAGGAAGATTATGTACCTGTGAGATGTGTTGAAATGTACAGAGGATAGTCTGAAAATGGGCCCAGTTTATTTGTAAACACTGCTATCCTGATAGAATAATTAGTGTTTAAACTTAAATTGCTCAAAACAACTGGTATCTTGGTAGCAATAATTATAAAATATTCACCAGTAGCTATATCAGTCACCATAACAGTATAGTTGTTGACCATGCGATCTTTTGTCATATTCCTTAATTGACAAGGTAAATCCCAACTTATTATTATACTTGATTCATTTGATGCTCCATTAAGATTTATTGCAGTAACTAATGAGATAGAATTATACACAATAAAGTAGTCCAATGAAAATTACTTTCGCAATTTGGTTCAGCTTCTGACCAATTTCCATTAGCTTGACATGTTCTTACTCCATTACCAACCAGTACATATCCTTCATATGTACAGCTATAAGTAGCTGTACTGTTAAAATTTGAGCTGCTCAATGAAACAGAAAGTCCTCCATATGCGTTTGACTCAACCATTAGCTCACTGCAGTTAACTGCAAGCATGTTTTAAGCAATTTTGAAGAAACTAGAATGAGCAGCTAACCTATTTTGCAAAATGGTGGATCTCCACTCCAATTTCCACTGCTTAAGCAGGTCCTGATGGAAACTCCAGTTAAACTGAAGCCTTTTTCACAGCTATAAATAGCTGTACTATTGTATGATCTAGAGTTTGAGGAATAAGAAACAGAGAGTCCTCCAAATGCATTCGACTCAACTATTAGTTCACTGCAATTAACTATAAAAATGTTTTAAGAATTATTATATAATAAGAATGAAATACATAGCTAACCAATCTGACAGTATGGTGGATCTCCACTCCAATTTCCACTGCTTAAGCAGGTCTTTTCAGCAACTCCAACTAGATTGAAGCCACTTTCACAACTATAGGTGGCTGTACTGTTGTAACTTGTGCTGTTGTAAGAAACAGAGAGCTCTTCAGAATCAACTATTAGCTCACTGCAGTTGACTAAAAAAATATTAATAGTAAAATTAAAGAAAGAGAGTGTATGCATGTATCTAACCTATTTCGCAAGATGGTGGATCTCCACTCCAGTTTCCACTGCTTAAGCAAGTCCTTTCAGCAACTCCAGCTAGATTGAAGCCACTTACACAACTATATGTGGCTGTACTGTTGTAACTTGTGCTGTTGTAAAAAACAGAGAGCTCTTCAGAATCAACAATTAGCTTACTGCAGTTGACTACAAGAATTAATGTTGAAAGTTAATTTATTTGAAGCCTATAAATAGTTAACCTATTTTGCAAAATGGTGGATCTCCACTCCAATTTCCACTGCTTAAGCAAGTCCTGACGGAAACTCCAATTAAACTGTAGCCATCTTCACAGCTGTAAGTAGCTGTACTATTGTAAGATCTAGAGTTTGAGGAAAAAGAAACAGAAAGTCCTCCAAATGCATTTGATTCAACCATTAGTTCACTGCAATTAACTATAAAAATGTTTTAAAAACAATTATAAAAATGAAATACAATTAGCTAACCAATCTGACAGTATGGTGGGTCTCCACTCCAATTTCCACTGCTTAAGCAGGTCCTTTCAGCCACTCCAGCTAGATTGAAGCCACTTTCACAACTATAGGTGGCTGTACTGTTGTAACTTGTGCTGTTGTAAGAAACAGAGAGCTCTTCAGAGTCAACTATTAGCTCACTGCAGTGGACTACAAAATTAATGTTACAAGTAAATTTAATATATTTGAAGCCTGTAAGTAGCTAACCTATTTCGCAAGATGGTGGATCTCCACTCCAATTTCCACTGCTTAAGCAGGTCCTAATGAAAATTCCAGTTAAACTGTAGCCATCTTCACAGCTATAAGTAGCTGTACTATTGTATGATCTAGAGTTTGATGAATAAGAAACAGAGAGTCCTCCAAATGCATTAGTCTCAACTATTAGTTCACTGCAATTAACTATAAAAATGTTTTAAGAATTATTATACAATAAGAATGAAATACAAGTAGCTAACCAATCTGACAGTATGGTGGGTCTTCACTCCAATTTCCACTGCTTAAGCAGGTCCTTTCAGCCACTCCAGCTAGATTGAAGCCACTTTCACAACTATAGGTGGCTGTACTGTTGTAACTTGTGCTGTTGTAAGAAACAGAGAGCTCTTCAGAATCAACTATTAGCTCACTGCAGTGGACTACAAAAATTAATTGTAAAGTTAAAGAAATACCATATAGCACTTTATTTTGGCGGCGCTTTATTTGGTCATTTTGCTGTAAAATTGCAATTGGCGGTTTTTAATTTGGTGATTTTTGTGTACAGGTGCATTACTGAGAATGCGCATTAATGATTGGCGGTTTTAATATTGGGGATTCTGCTTGCAAACTGCCATTTGCCAAAATAAAACTCTGCCAAATTAAAGCGCCATACTGTAGAGTGTATGTATCTAACCTATTTCACAAGATGGTGGATCTCCACTCCAATTCCCACTGCTTAAGCAAGTCCTGATGGAAACTCCAGTTAAACTGTAGCCATCTTCACAGCTATATGTAGCTGTACTATTGTATGATCTAGAGTTTGATGAATAAGAAACAGAGAGTCTTCCAAATGCATTAGACTCAACTATTAGTTCACTGCAATTAACTATAAAAATGTTTTGAGAAGAATTATAAAAATGAAATACAAGTAACTAACCAATCTGACAGTATGGTGGGTCTCGACTCCAATTTCCACTGCTTAAGCAGGTCCTTTCAGCAAATCCAACTAGATTGAAGCCACTTTCACAACTATAGGTGGCTGTACTGTTGTAACTTGTGCTGTTGTAAGAAACAGAGAGCTCTTCAGAATCAACTATTAGCTCATTGCAGTTGACTACAAGAATTAATGTTGAAAGTTATTTTATTTGAAGCCTATAAATAGTTAACCTATTTTGCAAAATGGTGGATCTCCACTCCAATTTCCACTGCTTAAGCAGGTCCTTTCAGCAACTCCAGCTAGATTGAAGCCACTTTCACAACTATAGGTGGCTGTACTGTTGTAACTTGTGCTGTTGTAAAAAACAGAGAGCTCTTCAGAATCAACTATTAGCTCACTGCAGTTGACTACAAAAAATAATTGTAAAATTAAAGAATTAGAGTTTACGCATCTAACCTATTTCGCAAGACGGTGGATCTCCACTCCAGTTTCCACTGCTTAAGCAAGTCCTTTCAGCAACTCCAGCTAGATTGAAGCCACTTTCACAACTATAGGTGGCTGTACTGTTGTAACTTGTGCTGTTGTAAGAAACAGTGAGCTCCTCAGAGTCAACTATTAGCTCACTGCAGTGGACTACAAAATTAATGTTACAAGTAAATTTAATATATTTGAAGCCTGTAAGTAGCTAACCTATTTCGCAAGATGGTGGATCTCCACTCCAATTTCCACTGCTTAAGCAGGTCCTAATGAAAGTTCCAGTTAAACTGTAGCCATCGTCACAGCTATAAGTAGCTGTACTATTGTATGATCTAGAGTTTGATGAATAAGAAACAGAGAGTCCTCCAAATGCATTAGTCTCAACTATTAGTTCACTGCAATTAACTATAAAAATGTTTTGAGAAGAATTATAAAAATGAAATACAAGTAACTAACCAATCTGACAGTATGGTGGGTCTCGACTCCAATTTCCACTGCTTAAGCAAGTCCTTTCAGCAACTCCAGCTAGATTGAAGCCGCTTTCACAACTATAGGTGGCTGTACTGTTGTAACTTGTGCTGTTGTAAGAAACAGAAAGCTCTTCAGAATCAACTATTAGCTCACTGCAGTTGACTACAAGAATTGATGTTGAAAGTTATTTTATTTGAAGCCTATAAATAGTTAACCTATTTTGCAAAATGGTGGATCTCCACTCCAATTTCCACTGCTTAAGCAAGTCCTTTCAGCAACTCCAGCTAGATTGAAGCCACTTTCACAACTATAGGTGGCTGTACTGTTGTAACTTGTGCTGTTGTAAAAAACAGAGAGCTCTTCAGAATCAACTATTAGCTCACTGCAGTTGACTACAAAAAATAATTGTAAAATTAAAGAAATAGAGTTTATGCATCTAACCTATTTCGCAAGATGGTGGATCTCCACTCCAGTTTCCACTGCTTAAGCAAGTCCTTTCAGCAACTCCAGCTAGATTGAAGCCGCTTTCACAACTATAGGTGGCTGTACTGTTGTAACTTGTGCTGTTGTAAGAAACAGAAAGCTCTTCAGAATCAACTATTAGCTCACTGCAGTTGACTACAAAAAATAATTGTAAAATTAAAGAAATAGAGTTTATGCATCTAACCTATTTCGCAAGATGGTGGATCTCCACTCCAGTTTCCACTGCTTAAGCAAGTCCTTTCAGCAACTCCAGCTAGATTGAAGCCGCTTTCACAACTATAGGTGGCTGTACTGTTGTAACTTGTGCTGTTGTAAGAAACAGAGAGCTCTTCAGAATCAACTATTAGCTCACTGCAGTTGACTACAAGAATTAATGTTGAAAGTTATTTTATTTGAAGCCTATAAATAGTTAACCTATTTTGCAAAATGGTGGATCTCCACTCCAGTTTCCACTGCTTAAGCAAGTCCTTTCAGCAACTCCAGCTAGATTGAAGCCGCTTTCACAACTATAGGTGGCTGTACTGTTGTAACTTGTGCTGTTGTAAGAAACAGAAAGCTCTTCAGAATCAACTATTAGCTCACTGCAGTTGACTACAAGAATTAATGTTGAAAGTTATTTTATTTGAAGCCTATAAATAGTTAACCTATTTTGCAAAATGGTGGATCTCCACTCCAATTTCCACTGCTTAAGCAAGTCCTTTCAGCAACTCCAGCTAGATTGAAGCCACTTTCACAACTATAGGTGGCTGTACTGTTGTAACTTGTGCTGTTGTAAAAAACAGAGAGCTCTTCAGAATCAACTATTAGCTCACTGCAGTTGACTACAAAAAAATAATTGTAAAATTAAAAAATTAGAGTGTACGTATCTAACCTATTTCACAAGATGGTGGATCTCCACTCCAATTTCCACTGTTTAAGCAGGTCCTTTCAGCAACTCCAGCTAGATTGAAGCCACTTTCACAACTATAGGTGGCTGTACTGTTGTAACTTGTGCTGTTGTAAAAAACAGAGAGCTCTCCAGAATCAACTATTAGCTCACTGCAGTTGACTACAAAAATAATTGTAAAATTAAAAAATTAGAGTGTACGTATCTAACCTATTTCACAAGATGGTGGATCTCCACTCCAATTTCCACTATTTAAGCAAGTCCTTTTAGTAGCTCCAACTAGATTGAAGCCACTTTCACAACTATATGTGGCTGTACTGTTGTAAGTTGTGCTGTTGTAAGAAACAGAGAGCTCTTCAGAATCAACTATTAGCTCACTGCAGTTGACTACAAAAATAATTGTAAAATTAAAAAATTAGAGTGTATGTATCTAACCTATTTCACAAGATGGTGGATCTCCACTCCAATTTCCACTATTTAAGCAAGTCCTTTTAGTAGCTCCAACTAGATTGAAGCCACTTTCACAACTATATGTGGCTGTACTGTTGTAAGTTGTGCTGTTGTAAGAAACAGAGAGCTCTTCAGAATCAACTATTAGCTCACTGCAGTTGACTACAAAAATAATTGTAAAATTAAAAAATTAGAGTGTATGTATCTAACCTATTTCACAAGATGGTGGATCTCCACTCCAATTTCCACTATTTAAGCAAGTCCTTTTAGTAGCTCCAACTAGATTGAAGCCACTTTCACAACTATATGTGGCTGTACTGTTGTAAGTTGTGCTGTTGTAAAAAACAGAGAGCTCTTCAGAATCAACTATTAGTTCACTGCAGTTAACTACAAGAATTATGTTAAAACAAATAATTATTGCATGGAATGAATGATAAAACTATAAAACATGTAATTATTTTGGTGGCTACTAGGGTTGTTGTCAATTACCCACCATCATATAAATTTTTATTAAATGAATATTACAATTTAAAATGATAGTATTAACCTTATTATTGTTACTATTATTACTTTCATAATAATAATAATAACAACAATAATGATAACTCTTTGGCGGTTTAATGCCAGTATGCGGCTTAGCCACTTTGATGCCTTTTGACCCCAGGTGAATGGTCTTCAGTGACTAGTTTAGCTTGTTTAGTTGGTTCCTCCCCCCCTTTTATGTCTTCAGTTAGTTTGTGCTATTGATTTTTTTCATTGATGTTTAGGGCTTTTCCCTCCCTCTCTTTGTCTCTGTCTCTCCCCTGTCTCTCTTTTATTGCTCTTATAATAATTATTATTATTGGTATAAAAGCACTTGCCGCAGGATATATGATCGGTTAAGATCCAAGATTATATTACAGCAAAGAACTACAGACAAACAAACAAAACGACAGAAAAAGTGTATAGAGCACAAGCTCCTTTTATACAAAAATCAAATGAAGTCATTACATAAGTATAATGATACTAAACATAGTAACAATGATAATTTAACACAAAATCTTAATTAATAACACATTAAATCCTAACACTATTACTCAGCAGTCACTGTCTATCAGCTGGTGTCATACTTCCAAAATAATAATAATAATAACTCAACCTAACCTGCTTTATTGTTCCTTTTTAAATAAATAACGATAAAAAATTAAAGTGCCTCAATGTGGGCATCTCGTCTGTGGTTTGTTCCCACTCTTGTAGATGGTATTCTCTGACTTATTTGTGTCCATTTCATTTTTTGTATGTTTTTTTGCTTGTAGTAATATTTTTTGTTTTTTTGCAGCATGTCACTTATCTTTTTAGTATAATTTTTTAGCATTCATTTTCTTCTTATAATAGTAATAATAACATTATTATTGTTATCATTATTATTATAAAACAAATTTAATGGTGACAAAAAGACACAAAACAGACAAAAAGGGGACAAAAAGGGAGGGTTGGCCCTGTACAAAAGAAGAAAAAACAAAAAAACCAAACATATAATTAATATTATTATCATTATGATTATTGAGATAGATGAATTTGTAAATGATCAAAATATAGTATAGACAAGTATAGATATATGCAATAAATTAAGACCTAACTTAAATTAACTTCCACCTATTGAAGTGCATAATGGTCTAAACACAGACTCTTCACAAGCACTCTTATGTCACATGTCACCTGGTCTAGGGTGAGTTGTCTCCTCGCACCTGCTCTAGGCTGATGTGAGTGAGATTCAGCAGTTCACCCACTGACTACTGATTACTGAGCTTAACATCAGCTATGTTTCATGCAGTCAAGAGACAAGTTGTTTAAAAGCTCTATTGTGGCTGTACCCCCAAGTTCAACATGGATGGCAAAGTGGATGAACCATGCAGTAATTTGTTTTTTACTTTATCATCATTATTACTCAACTAATTATTATTGTTCATTCCATATATCTCTTGTAATTATTATACTATTTTAATTTCCAATCATTATTCAGCTAATTATTATTATTACTTATTCATTCCACCAATCATTCATATGATCATTGTCTCTTAAAATTTTATTATTACTGTTATTACTCATCCAGAATTATTACTTATTCTAGGGTATCAGCAGGGCTTGCAAGCAACCCTTCAATAATGATGTATTCCAATTGCATTTTCTGATTTCACATGTACTATACTCTTTGGTTTCAATATTGTAAAATTTTTATCAAATTAAATTAAATTAAATTAATCTTTATTCTCTTCCTCAACAATACTCAAAACCACAATTATCATATACTATTGCTTTGGTAAGGCTCTCTTCAGAATTCTTCCATTACCGTACAGTGGGAAATTTTGGAGGGGTTAAGTTTGGCAAATTGCTAAATTTTGGTGATTGGCAGGTTTTAATTTGGCAAATTAGTGGCCACGTACCATTGAGCATGCATATAATGGCTCAAAATGGCGGGTTTTATTTTGGCAAATGGCTATCAAAGCACCAAATTTGCCAAATTTAATTCCCTCCAAAAATTTCCCGCTATACGGTATATTTTTACTATTATTGCCACAAAATGATAGTAGCCATTACTATTAGCACATTTACAATTATCATTGCAACAACCAAGGTGACTACTAATTTTGTTATTACAGCTACAAAACTAGGTTGTTGCAATGATAATTGCAAAGGTGCTAATAGTAATGGGTTACTTACCAGTTACAGTAGAAGTAACAATATTAGCTTCATTGACTTGAAAGATCCAAAGTCCTGCTACATCTACATTGCTGGTAGTTTCAATATTGACAACTGCTGGTGTCCTTGAGCCTTGTACAGCAAAATATGTAGAGTTTTGTCCTCCAGAATTAAAACCAACATAAGCCTCTGTTCCACCAAAGCCATCATTGCCTCCACTTGCATCACCAGTCACCCAATTTATACCATTATCAAGATAAAGGAATATGACATAGGAACGGCTCCCATCAGTAGCCAGAACACATTGGAATGTATTAAGCTATATGTTAAGTGAAAGAAATTATGCAGAATTCATTATGACATTATACTTTGTCACTTTGTCTACTATAATATCCAACTCTGTACCATGTCACTATTACAACAGATGTAGCTGTAAATGAAGGCTGCCCTGGAAATGCTAGTAGCACATCCCGAGCCACTTTGTTTACAATGGCACTAGTACTAGTTTCTCTGTAATAGACTGTTCCAGCTCCACTGCGTGTATCTACATCAGCCCAGAATGGAGCAATGAGTGTTTGAGGTAAAGGAAATGGCTGAGATGTGAATGCTGAAACTGCCTCATTAAATGAAAGAAGACCATTGTTGTTTATCTATAGTGGGTATAAATACATGTATAGAGTAAGAGTAAATTTCATTTACATAGTAGACTAGAGGGAGATATGTAAAATCAACTGTTACTATTATACTGATAATAGATTGTGCAGTAAGGTGTTGAGCTATTTTTACTAGTGTTGACTGTTGTTGTGAATGCTCAAGTGACTTTTGATGTGTGATTTATGATAAATTTTGGATAGAATCTTTCCATTTCTCTTCATGTTTTAGTGCTTTTAAGCATAAATCTACAGGAGATTGCATGAACCCTTGCAACTAGGTTTTAATGGGTCATTCTTGATTGATGTTACTTCCTTATAGGAAAGGTAAGTCAGATTTCCAATTTTACATAGATAGTGCAATTTCAAGTAATTCTCATTTTTAATACAAAGGCCAACCCATTTCCTATTTTAATATCTATATGGCTTATGAGACTAGAGGCTATGCTCAACTTTGTCTAATCTAGATCTAGTTTCACAATAATTGTATTTATTCTACTTACAAAGACAGTACTATAACTTTGGTTATAAAATATAAAGCTATTTGAAAGACTTAAGGATGTGGACGAATCATCATTATTAGTAAAAGCACTTTCAGATCCTCCAATTCCAAATGAATAGAAACTTGATATAGGGACACAAAAACCTGCAAATAATAATAAGTTAGCTCTATTAGTATAACAGAAAATACTAACAGCTTTCAAGTGACAGCAACAAAAACAGCAGCAGATAAGGATAACTCTGATCCATTTTGCAGAATGCCGGGCTTTTTCCCATCGATTGAAACTTGAGCCACACCCACAATGCTTTATTCAGTGCACTGCAGCTTTAATATTTACAGCATGGATATATAAAAATAGTTTACAGCTAACATTTTTGTTGTGATATTAATAACACATTAGTTTTAACTTGCTATATATGATAAAAATGATCATGATGTAGAATAAATCAGCTACACTACTCTCAGAATTTCTACAATCCTTTGCAAGGAGTAAACTAAAATGTCAAACCAGTAAAAAAAACAAAAAGTCATCAAGTGTGAGAAGCTAGCTCCTTCTATGAAGGCTTTGTGCCATCATTAAATGTTAGATCATACAGCCTGCATTGGATAAATTTAATCTAATCAAAAGATACACACTACCATTAATAAAAATTTACTACCAAAAATTAAAGAACATATCAGCAATGACTAGATCTAGGTCACATTAATAATTATTGGAGCTATTGTAGTCACACAACCTTTTCACCAGTGCCTTGATTTTGCCATCTTTTGTGCTGCTCCATTTATTCAGTTTTGCTGCAAGCTCAGCCTTTGTTGCTGAACTATTTGGCACATTTGATAAATCTTGTGTTATCCAGTTAGTTAGTTGATTGAGGACATTCAACCAAGGTGGTAGTGACTCCTTGTAATCAGCATTAAAGCATTTCTTGAATAAATCAGTCAGCATTTCTTGGTCACAACATGCTACTAATTCTTTTGTAACAAAAATGACATCATCAAA